GACAATCGAACAGAGTCATAATGTCCAGGAAAATTCGACTGTATTTCGATAGTATGAGGATTTTCTGCGACCTCATCTATAGCTAACTGCACGAAGGTACTTACGTTGTACCATTTCCAAAGTATCATTACATCTCTTGTATAGCCGATTCCATATAGGTACTGCGAACTCCAATTGAGGTCTAATTATAGATTTGTATAAATACAAAAAGGTGGAAGGTCTACGAAACTCCTTCGAAGCCCTCACAAGGAAACCAAACATTTAGTAAACTTTACAAACTGTTCCATCTATATGAACAACTAAGTGGAGCTTCGAATCCAACCGGATCCCAAGATCACGAAGAGAATTAACTTTAACTAGGAATGTAGTTGAAGCCATTTATCACATCTTTTTGAGTTCTATTGGTTATATAAGACTACCATTGCAAAAGATCCTCCCTAATCCTAATTCCAATGTAAGCGATTGTGTTAAGTAGCAACGTGTAATCAATTATGTCAAACGCTTTTTGGAAATCAATACTTTTGAACAGATAGGAACGTCCATGTTCATGATCTCATGATGGTGGATGGTGGTAGTTGCAATCGGCGCCGCCCATGGACACCTGAAACACCAAGGCGTGACAAGTACACCAAGTAGATTTTGGAGGATTCTAGCACCGGGAATACCGGAGAGGAGGGGGGGGGGGTAACTAATTGGGCCTCCGGTAACCTCACTCATAGGACGAGGTGTTTGTGACACTGACATTACTTATGTTTTGAGAAACAACCGATAAATAAAACCGGATTAATTACTTATAAAAAGTGGAGTTATGGTCAACTTGAATGCAAGTTGACCATAACTCCACTTTTAATTGCTTGATAAAGTAGATAAAAGTGCACAAAATTAAATATTGCATTATCAGTTCTATAGTATCTGCCTACCCCATAGGAGACCACGTATGTTACAAGTCCATATAAAAAGAAGACAATGGCTGATTCCCACAGTCCTAACACAGTTTTAATTAAAACTATTGTAAGAATTTCGGAAATTGGAATGACAATCATCTTCTTGTGACCTGGTAATTGTTCTCTTTGAGAATAGTCGCAAGCGACCACTTGGTAGACAGGTGCAGTTCTTTAGACTTACTTAATTTGAACATAATAAAGCTTAAACTTGAACGATATAAAGATCAGTTTAGATTGATGTAGTCTTAAACATTAATACTGAATCGATTTTAGCTTGTACTACAATGTTATTAAAACTGGATTTTTCTGTGACGTCACATTATAAGATAACTTTATGCGAATGATGTATTATGTGTGTATGCAGTCTCATTAAGCGAATCTTGGAAAATATATGTAGCCAGCTGAATTGCTTGTCGTGTTCTAGCAAAAGAAACGAGTTAATTAATGGTATTTTGTATGTTCAGCTTTCTTCGTCTAGTAATTAATGCAAGAAAAATATAACAGAAAAAAGAGTTTTTTTTTTTAAAAAAAAAAAGCTCATTGGACAAGGTGGGCTATTAATGCCATGGGCATTCTCCTCCAGCCAGACCTTTGGGTGACGCAGAGACAAAAAAAATGGTCGATGCAAGCAGAAGTAAGCATGTTCAAGATCTATGACCAAGAAAAATACATAAAAAGAAGAATAGTATAGACTTACATAAAATAAATCCCTATATGAACTTACATGTATATGACACAACAATTAACTTACGTAATTATATTACATATACTACTTACATATATAATAATTATACATAGTATATTAATAGTTACGACTCTGTCAATCCCTTCAAAAGTAGCTCCTGAAACGTCCGCTTGAATGACAAACGACTGGGCACCATCCTGACATCGGGAGGGAACGCATTCCACAGAAGAATAGCTTGAACAAAAAAAGAGCAATGAAGAAATTTAGTACGATTTGTTGGACATTGGAGGGGTCAATTATTAGAGCGAAGATGTTAGCTGTGGTTTGCTCATGTATATTGGAAATGAGAAGATAGATAAGCAGGCGAAGAAGGCCAGTCGAGAAAAGAGAAAATAGTGGTTAGGGCCCTAATTGCAATCGGTATGCAAAAACATGATCATATCTACGCAGGTTGAAAACGAATTGAATGCAGTTATTTAGAAGTCGATCAAGTTTATTGCGAAGATAGTGCATTCAGGTCGTAATAACACACATCAGCATAATCTATAATAGGGAACAACAGGGCCTGCACCAGCAAGGACTTGGTGTCGGACGGAAGCAAGTTTTTAACGCGATAAAGAGCCCGCAGCAATCCAGTCACCACTAATGACTTGTGCATGCCAGTTTAGATTGCTGTAAATACGTAAACAGAGATCTGTGACGTTACTAGTAAACGGAACGATCGCACCGTCGAAGAGGACAGTGGGTAGAGATGCACAGTTAACCTTACCTAGAGAACGAAAGCTTCCTATCATAATCGCCTGACACTTCTTAGGGTTTACCGCAATGCCGAACCTTATCGACCAATTATTAATAGCGGATAAGTCGTTGTTAATTTTTGAGATGGCTTCCAGCATGCTGTCAAAGCCGGCCAGACAGTGAAGCTGCAAGTCATCCTCATATAGATGGTACGCACACCGAAGGTCGGAAGTGATGAGTTTAATAAAGATAGAAAATAAGAGAAGAGATAGTATACAGCGTTGAGGAACGCCAGCCTTTAATTCGCGCCAGTTAGATTATTTATTACCGTGCTTGACCGCCTGCTGACGCTCCTGAAGATAAGAACAGAACCATTCTAGTGACTCGCCAGAGACCATAAGGTGGGATAGGATAGTCAACAGGATGTCGTGACTGACCATACTGAAGGCATTCGAGAAGTCAACCAAAACCAGGGCTGTGGCTTTGGTATCCTCAAAGCCGGTTCTCATATCGCCAGTCACTACAAGGCGGAAGCAGTGCTGTCTGAAACCAGATGGTAGAGAACTGATCAGTGAATTCCGATATTTGAAATTTGAGATTTGTTTATGAACACAGGCTTCGAGCACTTTGGACAGAAATGAGAATATGGATATTGGACGGAATTGAGAGGGAAGGGTGCCAGAGGTTAGGGAAGGTACCGGAATAAAGTGAAAAGTTGATGGCATGGGTTATCGCTTGTAGAAGGTAATCTAGAATGGTAACAATAGTGTTTCGAGAGATGTTATAGTTAATTATCCAACATTTAAGGATATACCAAAAATCATCTACATAGTCAGTCGATTTCCGTCGTGAATGGACATAGTCTTCCTCTAATTCTTTGGTCGAACATATAGACGATATCCGCGATATGAACGCTGCTACCTGGTCTCAGGCAAAACTGGCGTCACCATACGCCTCATACTCAATTACATAATAATGCAAAAACTCACAAGCATTAACTTTGTTTTACAAAATCCATTAAAAACTAAGAGAAAATAGAAAATAGAAACGCGAGTTTGTACACTTACCATTAACACAGAGTTGTTTTGTACTGAATTGTGGTCAAAATCCTCGTCGACTACTAATGGAATTTTTTTAAGTTTAAGTCTAGAAAACTAGTATTGCGACCACGCATAGTGCCTAGAAAAGCGTGTTGAGCGCTCTGGCACTAATTAAAGCTCTTACTGTAACAACAAATTCTCCCGAATTGTATGGGATTAGAGGGTATGGAAGTACCCTATCTCCCTGTTTGTGCCTAATGGATTTAGGGACCCTCCTATTAATTGGCTGTCTATTTCCTCAGTGGAAACGATATTGGATTTATTAGGATCACAATACCTGCAAACGGGTTATATGGACTGACTCGAAGTGGATATCTGTGCTTACGGTTTGTAGCTGTCGAAAAAGTATATCCGCCTGATTTTTTAACGTTATGGATTTCGTAAAATAGCAGCGAAACATACCGTTTGCTAAGCGAAAAGATTTCCGTAGATATGATAGATAAAAAGTAAAGAATTTACTAAACGAATGAATTATATACCTTTTTTATGACCTTACCTACGGCTTCTGATCTCCGAATACCTAGGTAAGGAATAATTATAAGCTGCGAGTACATTGCCATTGACCGGACACGTTCAAGACCTTACGCTATTACTGAGAAGTATCGATATGGAAAACTATTTTTTTTTTCTTTAGACGACACACGGCAATTAAGTCCTAGTTAAATACCTAACACAGACCTTTCGGTTAAAACTCATTTTTATTTACATCTCGAAAACAAAACCTGGCAATCCTAACATAAATAAAATGATTGCATAATTACGTATTGCATAAAACTACTGAAGTAGGTACATATTATACGTGGTGCCTATTTACCTGCTGCTGCTGATGTTATGTTATGTTACCTATTTACTTTGCATTTGTTTAATTTCATCTCCGGCGCTCCGCTATCAGACGACTGAGGTTCGGATATTTATCGAAAATCGACAACTGAGCGAAAACTTTTACGGATAGCGAAAAAGATGTAACTCAACGAAATAACATAAAAAAACGTCGTCTTGCCTTTTTTCGGCCGCTTGAGCGAAATTTACAAAATAGTAAACGAAAAAGTAGAAACGTATCTACATACAGCCGATTGCTAGTCATATGATGATCGAGGCTTACTGCTAATTTGTAAATTATTGGTCGGGTATTTGATACTCTAGAGTCTAGTAAAGTTTCATTAGATATTTTGGAATTTCGATCATTTTTCCTCACACAGAATCTTGAACTACTAGGCTATTTATTCCGTAAGATGTCAATCTTATTCGCTATATCGCATTCTTGCCCGTCATTGGTCGGGATTATTCTTAAAACCAAAGACGTGGTGAAGTGCAATCGAGTACACTTCCACCTTTCGAAATAAAGTTTCAGAATACTCTTGCTGGGTCATGAGTATAGCAACACTCGCCACTCATTACAGGAGACTTAAACATGATGGGGTTAAAAGTAGTAGTTACATTGCATATACACATGTGCACCTTTGCTCACGTCTGCGAAGATAAAAAGGCGTGATAGTATGTTATGGTTTTATGAAACCGTTACTTTTGTTTCAGATTATCTTTGTAATGCTATTCTTGGCCTGCTTGGCTTGGCTGATCACCTGTGATCAAGGTAAGATTTTGATCCCTTGCTTGAACGTTTTCAAGGAGAAGGCGGAGTTTAAATATAAGTTGTTAAATTTATTCCTCTTTTCGCAGGCAGTTACTAGGTATGTAGTAAAGATTAGTCTTTAGGTACAACACCTGTTGCAGTGTATACAACGTACAAACTATAGACGTTATATACCTAAACAAAGTCGGATCCTCTATTACACATACATTGGATTATACACAAAACCGTTAGAGGGCAAAGAGTGTCCAAAATGTCCACCATTTCGAACCCTTCAAAGAATAAAAGCATAACTAACATGCAAAAAGTGTATTTCTGTCACAAACTCACAAAATGTAGACAATTAAACATTAGTCCAATTTTCTTAAATAGTTATTATTATTATGATTAAAAGTTAGATATTTTAATCACGCATTTTTTAAAGCACTCTCGGGAAAAGCAGACGAACGGCGTGCGAGGCTAATTGGTATCCAAGGACAAGAACTAACAGAAAAACGACTACATGGAAACCAAACTGGAACCGAACTAGGACGCCGCGGCGTGACAAACATCAGTTACCCTGGGAAAGAAGGTCAGTACAAATCTTCTTCTATTATATTGATCATCATTAACGGTTGTTAGAAGTCTGATAGGTTTATCAGAGTCCACTGAACAGGTCTGAACCTCCGTTACAAAAGATGGTTTCTCTATTCCCAATGCTGGAAAACGGGTTAAAAAAACATTTAAGTTTTATATATTTATTTCATTTCAATTCTAACCTACATTTAGTAAATAAAAATTATATATATTTAACTATACAAGATATGTTATTGTAACTAGTTACCTGTAATTGAACAATAACATTCATATTACATAGTTAAAGTATTCATTTAAATATACTAGTCACTTAGTTGGATCTTAAGAAACCCACTCCTTAATTTCCCTTATACATTGTATCCGCGTGAACGGAGGAATTCTTGTTATTTGTTATGATCAGGAAAAGTACTAATTCAGTGAATAAAATACGCCGGGAACGTCGGCCGGTCTTTGCCGAAGATGACCGCTGCAGCTGCTGCTGGTGCAAACTCTTCTTCAAAGTAAGCAATATAAGAAATAAGAACAAAACTAATGGCGTAGCATATTATTGACGTCACTTAAATTTTTCCATCAGAATGACCACCCGTGCGAAGTTGGGTGAACCGGTACTTATAAATACAAAATGTTATACAATTTAATTGTGTCTCTTAGTAAATAACTCGGTTCGTTTGGAAACGTCAATCTGCTTTGAAAGTTCCTACAATAAAATGATTTTGGTTTTGTTTTCTAGGATAGAATATATTATTATTTGTGTAAATAAACCATGGTATGCTATTAACAGGTATAATGTGTGTTATTAATCTTATTAATGACTAAGAAATGGCTTTGATGGGCGATTTCGTGAATGCTACTTAATAATGCTAAGTTTTATTTTAGTTTCGTGGTGGAAACTTTGTGAAACTGCTGCGGAACATATTCTGCTAAAGAAGCTGATTCTGTTGTTCTAATGACTTAGCTTACTTTAAGGGCCAATGCACACCACGTTACGGGGGTACACGCTACGGACGAGGTTTCCACCGCAATGAAGGAAAAGGAAGTGTGAACCTACGCCAGTAGCAATCGAGCGATTTGGTACACCGCAGGTCTTTGGAACAAAAAAATGGAGCCGTTTGCATCGCGTCTGTATATATCGCTACACGCGCGCGTTCTTATTTCTATAGGTGTGCAAAGGTCTACACGCTGCGTCTGACTTGTGTGCGTATCGCGTCTGTATCGCTATAAACGCGCGTCGACCGCGCGTTTAAAAAACTTGGTGTGCATAGGCCCTAAGGGACTACTGAATATCTGGTTCTTCAGCACTAATGACGTCATTACAACTGTAGAATCAAATATTTCGTTTACAGTAGATACTACGTAAGTACTGTGTTCTAATGAACTACTGAATTACTAAATCTGGCCGCTGTTTAGTTGATGACGAATTACAGCCACTAAAACACAGTCCCCGGCCACTTTATTGGACACACCCTCATTTTGTTTGTTAGGTAATTATTTAGATGCGTTCGCAAGGCTGTCTTGGACATGGGAGTTTCGGTAGGTTGCTGTTTCGGATTGGGCGGGAGGAAACGCCCGGGTGTTATCACTGCGAGTACCACCCGGAGGACACGGTGAAACATACGGTGGCGGTATGCCCAGCGTGGGCTGAGCACCGCCGTATTCTCAGGAATGTGGTCGGCAACGGCTACCTCTCGCGTCCGGCACTGGTTCAGGCCATGGTGCGCTGCGAGAGAGAATGGGATGCCGTCTCCTCCTTCGGCGAAGCAGTCATGTTAGCCAAGAAGGAGGCGGGGCGCGCGAGGTAACGAACCTCCTCATGCCCTAGCCGCCACGGGATACACTCCGGACCTCGGAGATCGTGCGACGATCTTCGGCCACCGTAAGTGCGGGTATGCGGACGGGGAGCAATGGTCAAGATCAATTTATGGATCACACAAAGATTTGTTCCGTGCGGGAATCGAGCCTGTAACACGTTGCGCAGCGACAGGCTGCCGCGCAATGTGTAGCCGGCGAGTGTGTGGACGTCCTACAAATTGTTGGTCCTTCGGGGCTCGGGGTCCCCTGGTTCCCTTTCGGCAAAGACCGTACTGTGCGTTCGTATTCACGTATACATTTTTTTAAACATATTACTGTTGTATTTTTATTTAGGATGTCTTAACTGCCTCATTGGTCAAGTGGTCGCAAGTTTGACTGACGGGCAAGGGGTCTCAGGGTTCGATTCCCGGGTCAGACAAAGTAAAAAAAAATAATTGAGTTTGGAATTGTGGCCAGTATGTGGCAATAGGCTCACCCCCATTACATGGGACTCATAGCATAAAATAGTGAAAAGTGGCTGTTACATTGTGCCGTGGCATTAGCGAGTTTTTTATATGAGTACTCATCATAATATTTATGATTAGGTAATGTAAAATTACTAAATATAAACGGCATGAATTGAACTCATCTAAATAAAATAGGTAAAGATTAAGAACAAAAAGATTTCGTCTATAATAATGTGGCTAGGGAGGAACTGTAGTTTATCTATATTTAACTTGAAGGAACTTTCTAGAAGCCATTAGGGAAGGTGTCACATCCTCGGTCAAATCTAAAGTAAAGTCAGACAGTACTGTAACTGCAGTCTCCCAGGTCTAACAATAGACAGGTAGTCTATACTTACTTATTATAAGAATGATAATGCTTTGTCAATCTATCAGGATATTCGATACTCGATTGAACCAAATGTCTTTGTCTTTAATGGATTGACGATTGCATACAAAACTCTTAATTCTTAGAGATTCAAATTAACTCGTCGAGTACCGTCATTATAGACACAATTATAGAACAATAGGTTGCGGTCACCGGTGACCGCTTGGTGTTTGACAGTTTAAGATAAATAATGGAAGTAAATCCCAAAGATATATATTTTTATAGAATCATTAGAAGACATGAGTGTTTACACTAATCGTTCCACCACGTACGGAACAAGTGAAACAAGTCATTGTATTTCAACAAATAGGCTACAACTACAAGGCAGCACTTTTACACGTCAATTTTATTAAGCGAACGATGAGGCTGACATTTCCTAACTGACTACTCTGAAAAGAAATATCAAAACAAACTCAGAGGTCCTTTTAAAGTCCAGAAAATATGTATAAAATATTAGGTATGAGAACCGTGCAAGTTCGTTCTGTAGTGGCCTTTTGAGGAAAGAACCACAACGACGGCACTTCGCATGTATCTGTTTACAATCAGCTCCAATATTAACACTTTGTTTATTGAAATATTAAGTGAGTACAAAATATTAAAGATATTTTAAAATCTGAACGCTCATACTGCATGACTCTTATTACTAACTGATAATGAAGCAAAAATAGAAGCTTTATGAGGATTTTAGTGCCACTTTACGCTAAAACTAAAAGAAAAAAGAGTATAGGATTTGCTACGGGTAAATTATACTGAAATGTGTAAAAGCATTGTTCTCAGGTAGAAAATGCTTCTGGAAATAGCGAAAAACGTCACGGTAAAAATTGTGCTGGAGAGTTCTGTAGGTATTTTAGCAAATTCTATTTTAATATTGTCAATCGATAGTAGACCGCACAGTATCTACTAATTTTAGTTCTTTAGGTATGTTTTGATTCAAGCGCCGTGGACTCGAGCCAAATGTCGTGGTGGCCCGGAGGTTTAAGACGCCCACTTCTCATGCATGAGGGTGCGGGTTCGAAACCTACCGACGGCAAGTACCAATGTGACTTTTTCCGAGTTATATGTAGTTTCTAAGATTATTTAGACACCACTGACAAACGGTGAAGGAAAAACATCGTGAGGAAACCTGGACTTATAATTTCTAATTATAAGTTTAAAATCGCCAACCCGCATTGAGCAAGCGTGGTGATTAACACTCTAACCTTCTCCGTGTGAGAAGAGGCTTTGCTCAGCAGTGGGCATTTATAGGCTGTTGATGATGATGAGTGATGATGGACTCGAGCCTTCGTGCCGGGTCTTAGCATTAAGCTGAGCTCCAGCTTTAGTCGCGGAGAACCTAAGGGGTAACCGGGGCTCCGGCTCGACGTGCAGGAGAAGGAACGGGGTGGTTTTTAGTCAGTAAGAGTCTGACACTCCCTCCCGCCTCACCCAGGCGGGAGCAGTCATTCGATGATTTTCCCCCCTTACAAAAAGGGGGGGCTGTTTGTGTGTAGGTACCTGTATTCTTGTTATATGTCGAGGCGTAATAAATAGATTTTCTTTCTTCTATATTATTATGTGTTTTGATTAAATATTATGTAAACTAATATTGTAATATTTAACGTAATAAAAATCTTTGTTTTATCTCGAAATAACATTTGTTTTCAAATGATTGTCGGCTTAACATGGCGCAGGGATAACAACGGTTAAACTTAACCATCTTACAATACATAACTTTAACTATTTACGTATTTAATGCAGACTGTCAACATTACACATTACATTAAAGACCAAGCCTAATAAAATTACAATGAAATAAAATACATTATGGTAAATAAATACGAATAACAATTACATATACATATATTCTTTTATAAAGCCCTATTTATCAATGCAACTTCAGTACCTCTGTGCGTTCGTTTAGTGTCACAACCAGACTAGACTACTGAGAAAGTAAATTTCCGGTGCCCTATTAAATTCTACTCTTTACCGTAAGATTTTCTATTGTCTGGGAAGTTTCTAGTTTCTTATAACCTCATTAATTGCTTCGAAAACTATCGACATTACAGCGTTTGATGTTTGCAAGCGCGACGGTCAAGCAACAACCTTCGATCCTTTTGATTGTTGATTTGGAAAAAGAATTCTTAAACAAACGAATACTTTTGACGATACATTGATTTGAAATGTCGCATGACGTCACTTCTATGTACATTTTATACGTAGAAATTACGTTTTAGCCCCCACTCCTAAACGTTGATTCATTTTATCTAAGTATTGTTTTATTATAGGACAATATAAAAAAATACATGTCTAATATTTTTTCATTACCCAACTTACGGA